CTTGGATCCTAGAAATTAGGCCCATTAACCTAAAAACACAAATTTGCTCAAATGTATTTCTTGAAACTTCTCAAAATTCCCCAACTTGTGAAAGCCATAAATTTCTCAATTTTTATCCTTTGGAGATGATCTTGGATTTTTTGGAAATTCCAAGATGTCCCCTACAATCTCTATGTTGACCATTTTTGTATTTGCAGAATTTATCTCGATGTAAATGGTCTTGGCAAAAAGTGTCTTTTGTTGACTTTCTGAAAATGACATGTAATGTATCAGATTCTATCTTCCGAATGATGCATTTCTTGAACTTGAGGATAAAAGAGAAGTTGTAGGGAATTGGCTTCTCTTAAAAATGAGCTTTTGTTGAGGAAAAATAGATGAAGTATGTGAAAGTTATGCCTGGTCAAACTTTAGTTGACTTCTCCTATAGAAACCCTAATTTAGAAATTCTTGACTTTTGATAAATTAAGAGCATTCCTTGAGGAATCATGACCAACCCTTAATAAAATGATGTATATCAATTTAAAATGTTGATGTTGACAAAAAATCTTAAAGTTTGACTGCATCTTGGCCATAGTTGGCTTTTGACCTAGTACAATTGATTTTCAAACATTTGAGGAGTTGACTGAGCAAATTTGTCGTGTAAGGCATGAAATTTGACATGGACATTCCCGAGGACATATTAGGGGACATGGAAATTATTTGGAGCCTTTGAAACCCAAACATATTGGTGAAAAATGAAACCCTAATTGGAGGTTCATTGCTTAAGAGGAGAATTTGTTTAATTAATTCTTTGGTCAACCTTGAGCAATTGAGGACCTCAATGAGCATGTCTTGAGTAAAATGGGAGGGAAATCTTTTGGGTACAACAACTAGCAAACGAGGACTTAAAGATGTCGACCATGTATAATTATTCAAAACATAAAACTAAATATCCAAGTATTCAACAAGATCCTCTCTCTCGAGGAGTTCCTTAATAGCTATCAGACCAAGCTCGTACAAGATCTCCCTGTTCTTATCCATGTCAAGCTTTCCTCCTTGGCATGCGCACTGGACGCGAGGAATTCTTGCGACAAAAGCGGTTAAAATGGCGAAACTCGTCTGGTCCTTGTCACCAAGCTCCCCCTTCTTTTAGACGTAGGAACCTAACTTATTGTCAAAATGCTTCCTCGTCCATTGAAATGAGAACTTGTAGACTAAATTACTCACGTGCTCCCCCGACTCGTTCAAGACAGGGGCCCTATTCTCATCATACTCTGGAGTAGCCCAGAAAATGTTCAGCATCACTCTGCTCGAAAGAGGCTACATAAGAATATACTTGTCCTTGAAATGCCGAACAGATTCCAGATAAGCTTTAAACAACTTCCCGTTGCCCTGCTTCAAGACGACCCATCCCCTCTTGCCGTCAACCTTGCTCCTCTAGAGATGAAAACAATAGAGTTCTGGGAGGATCTGGTTCATCCTTCCAAAAGATCATCTCCAACATTGTCGGCCACAATACCTTAAAAGCAGAGGATAAAGGTGAGTTCGACATCAATGCCAAAACCACCCTTCCACCACTAATCAAGTGAAAGAGCGTTGATAAATGAGGATCATGTCCTCAACCAGAAACCTCACTAAGGCATCTGAACGAATAAACACTTTTCATAATAAGACAAACTCCATTAAACAAAAACGACCTAAATCCTCAAGGATCATGTACGACGCGTCGCGAAAATCTGAGGAGAATCCATGGTGGCTTCAGCGATTCTAAACTATAGAACCACCGTCTACCACCAACACTATCTGAAGACGCCCTAAAAAACAAAATCCCAAGCCTAACTGCATGCATTTCTAAGAAGAAAATCGTGAAAATATAGGCTACAACAGTTAAACAAACAACTAAAATATGGAATCTTACCAATTAAAGAAGAAAGGAAGCTGAAAGGAGCGGTGACAGACAGTTAATCTTCAAGAAACAATGGCGGTCGACAGGCGAGCAGTAACGAGAAATAAGAGAGAAGAACGAAAAGTACATAATGCCCTACTTCTCTCGTATTTATAGCTGAACTCGTCAGCGCATGAGAAACACACGTCTGTGGAACCGTAGGACCGTCATCATTGCACCCTAGCCCCCAGGCCATCATTGCATCGCTGTATCAACACACTACCTCTTCGACTTTCTAAACTCAAACAACGAACCAAGCATCTCCCCACGAGTAAGGCACAAAGGGCGACGCTCACACTCCCCATAAGAAGCGCCCATTTTCACGAGCAAACATTAAAGTCATCACTCTAGTGCCCAAAAGAAACGACTTAGGGGCTACTATTCTGGACTGGCCCAACGGCTAGAGTGGGCCTAGTCTAACCTTCTTGTTCGGCACAACCCACGCGGCCATGGCCCGAGCTCCCCCGCCCTCCTTCAGGCACCACCGATCATTTGTTCTCTTGGACCAGCACTGACCTACAATAATCGACGAGCGCGTCTCAGTCTTCCCAACCTCAAGTCGTCCAGACAACCAAGAATTAACCAGATCGTTGCCTGTAACCTACCTCATCCTCGGAACCAACGACTAGTTGCGGGCACACCTGCCTGATTTGACCAAGTCCTGACAGTTACCTATTTTTGCGAACCCATATTTATAGGCCCAAAAATAGGGACCAATGGCCAAGTACCAGGGGCACTATATAAACCCTCACTCATGTGAGGGCCAAGTATCAGATATTCACTATTCATCACTAAAACCCTAACACTTTATCTGTATCTCTTTTGCCCCCACACTTACTTGATCGTCAGAGTACCTTACAGGTAAACTCCCCCTTTTTTCTCCTCGACTTTCTAGCCAGTCCGAAGATTATCATCCAGGCACCTTGCAGGTTTTTATCAATCGGTAAGATCACTAAGGCTCCCTATTAGAAACCTTCATCGCACATGACTTGGACGATCTCAAAGATTATAAGTTTTAGGACGACATTTGGAGGAAGAATAAGCTTCTCGAATCCGTCGGTAAAAATTGTCAGACGGATGCGATAAATTCAACCAGGTTGTTGGACTCTTTAATTTACACTACAATGTAATCAAAATTTGCAGTCAGAGATCTCAACGCTTTCTCAATCTTCTGTAAATTGTTGATTGATTCACCACACACATTCATCTTGTTCATTAACAATACCACACGTGAAAAATTTGTTGAGAGTGATTCATCTTCCTTCATTTGAGTCATCTTGAATTGCTTTCTCAACGTCTGCAATTTCACCCTCTTCAACTTTTCATCTCCTCCGTACAAGTTCTTTAACTTATCCCACTCTCTTTTAGTCGTTTCCTCTTCAATGATATTCTCGAATAAGTTAGGATCCACACACTGGTGAATAAAAAATAGAGTTTTTCCATCTTTCTTCTTTTGATCCTTGTGCGCAACTTTTTGAACATTATTTGCACTCACTTCCAATATCAATACTCCATCATTCATGATTTTAGACATATCATGAAATTTGAAGATGACTTTCATTTATGCAACCCACCTCTCGTAGGTCTATTTGTCATTATAGATTCTCTCTGAATCACAACCATAACTCGTTGATACCAATTTATTTGAACGATTAAGGTTTACAAGAAAGACGAAAGAGAAAAAGAAGAGAGAAAAAAGAGAAGAGACAAAACCGTAAAGGGAAAACAATTATTATCTACTGAAAACTGTTAACTATGAAGATTGTATGTTGAAATTATAACAACATACCTATTTATAGGCAATAAAGGTTCAAGCCCAAAACATATAACTTAAATCCAAAACATACTAACTACATTTCAACTTAACATCTATATGATGTATTCGACTTTGTCGAATACAACTTACTTCTACTAATTCGACGAGGACAAACACACCTATATCAAATACCATTTTTTCTACAAAACAATAAATTACAACTTTTAACCAGATACATTGAAAACCAAAAAAGAAAAGAAAATAATAAAATTTGCTTTACACTATAAAAGTGAAAATGAAAAGTAGAGAGAAATGAAAAGATAATTTGGGTTAGTATATATTCATTGATTAGATATGTAATCATGATTCAAATCTAGAAGATATGAACAAATCAATCTGATTTGATTTGGATGAATTTAGTTGAAATATAAAGAGAAAAAATAAAAATAAAAAAAACAATTTGTAAATAAAGAAACCACTGCAACTTTGTATAAATTGGACAATAAATACCCCAATTCTAAGATGGATAAGAACGAAAGATATGAATAAATGTGAATATTTAATACAATATTCATTCTTATATTATAAATTTATTGAAAATAATTTTAAATTTAAATATTAAAAAATAATAAAATATTTAAAACAATATTTTATAAAAATTTATTTAAACCATAATTTTATTTTAAAATAAGTACAGAATCAATTAAAAAAAAACAATCTTAAAGATTGAACTAACCTATAACAAACTTGAACCTTAAACTTATGTAATAAACAAGACTTATTTATTTAAAAATAGTTTATAAAACCAATAAATAACATTGTTATCACCAATTTATTCAATAAAACATTAAAATGTGTGAGTAGAAATGATGGAAATTTATTATTTAAAGTTTTTTTTTATACATGATATATAATACTATAAAGAATATTTTTAAAATTAGGGCTCAAGTGAGAAAATCAAATTTTATTGAAATTAATGAGAAAAAATACCTAGAAAAAAAAAAATTAAATCTGTGAATACCATTGTCATCCCTAACTTACTCATAAAAGTAGAGTGTCAGCAGAGATGAAACCTTAGAGACAGAGTGGAGGTGGAGGCAGAGGCAGAGGATGACTCTTGACGCAGTGCAGCACACCAATCGCAATTACCGCGCAGATTGTGCGGCACTGCCTCCATTTTGATTTCCGTTTCTCCAATTTGCACACATTCACTTTCTAGGGCTTGTGAATTTCAAACCACGTTTTCTTACACTCTTACACTCTCACACAGGCACGCACGTAAACATCTCATACTCCTAACCGTTTACTCAATCCGAGTGCATGGAGAAGCAACAACAGCAGAAACTTCCTCTTTCTCTTGACTGGGACACGCTCCATGATACGCCGCCGGCGGAACTCGTCGTGAAGCCGTCTGCTAAGGCTCCCGATCAGAAACCTCCGCCGTACGTTGACCTGGAAGGTCTCAAAGATAGTGAGCTCGAGGACGACATTCGGAGGAAGAAGACGCTTCTCGAAACCAGCGGTAAAAGATTGCCGGACGGAGGCGACAAATTACGCTGTATGATCAAGCAGTTTGAAGAAGAGCTTCATAGACGGAAAATGAACCCTCGTCCTCAGGTTCTGCTTCTTCATATGCGAATTCAACATTTTTGTTTTTCTTTGCACTGGATTTTGCGTTTAGGCATTCATTTTATTAATTTAGTTTTTCTGGTAATCTACATTGCTTTTTTCGTTCGTTGTTTTGTAATTAGATTCTATTGGTGCTTTTCTATGATGATTGATTTTGCAGGAATTGTTTGGTTGCTAATGTCATGTTTGTCTGTGTCATTTGGTTTTCTTTGTAGAACAGAAAGTTCATGAGGAGCAGAAACATAGACAAGCTACTGGTAGCTCAAGTTCTGTTGGTGAGGGTTTGGTACTTAAAGCATGAAATTGTGTGATATATCTGTAAAGTAGGCAGCAGAGTTGATTTAATTCCTTGTTTGTTGTATAATAAGAAGCTTAATGCTTTTGTAGGTGTGTCTAATAACTCGAGAGAAGAGAATTTGCCATCTCGTCCACAGTCGAAACCCTCTTTTGCATCTTGTTTTATGAAGAAATTGGAAGATAATGTAAGGTCCTTTGCATCATTTGTAAAATACTGTGTTTTACTTTCTATCTTGCATGATATAATGTATCTGACTTCAATTTATAAAGCAGACTAATTGTACAACTGGTGATTCATTTAGCAAGGAGAAGCCGCATTTCAAGCATTGTAGTAGCCAGGAAGAACGACACAATAGAGAACCTAAAAAAAGAAAGAGACATCGATCATCTTTAAAACCGATGCCATTTCAATTCTCGAGCAAACATTCCAAACGTGATACTTTTAGTGATAATGATAAAAGGTGCCGACCCAATTCTACCTTATCAGTACGGACAATTACAAGGAATCTATCAAGACGCTTCTCAAAAGAGTAAGAGAAAAATGTATCTTTTTATGGTTTTTGGTTCATTCCGTTTGGCTGATTTGGGTATTGGTTATGTACTTTATTTGTTCCATTTGCCATTGCTAATTGGCTTTTACATATAATATCTCGCGTATTTCCTTTTCATAAAATTAATGTGTGTTTGCCAATGTATGATTTTCATACAAAATTTGTGGTTTTTCATTCCCCTCGTTTTGAATAACATTATTGTGTGATTTTGTCATTGAAATATTTACCTCATTGTCATGAGTGATGATTTATCTTTGAATTAGTGCATCTACGTTTTTCTCAATCAGATTTGAAGTATTAATGTATTATGTATTACAATTCTGTTCTCACTCCTGTTCTAATGTGGTTGTGTTCAAAGGTATTCTTTATCTTCAACATTCTTGTTTCACCATAATTTGCAAAAATAAATCATATATAAAGTTCCTGTTTTCACCCTTTCCCTCCTTAAGCTGAACACAGTGCCAGACAGGGTTTGCTGTTAATTTAGCTCTAGCTAAGTAGGAAGGATAATGTTTAGATTTTTTATTACATTGTTGATAATGTTATATTCTTGTTTTCTTTGTCTTCTGGTAGTAATGGTGCATTTCAGGCAGTTCAGTCAGATGATTCAAGGTCCAGGAAGGTGTGTTTGTTTGCATAGCTTATAAGATTTTGGTAGTTGTTAGTTATACAAGTCCCAAGCTGATTAGCAGTTTTATGATGATAATATGATATGGCACATCTTTCTTGCTTCCTTATTTACTTACAAGTGATATGTTATATATGACATGTTCTAAACAGGGTCAACCCATTGTTCTTGATGATGACGACAGTAGTGACGACAGCGACAGTCCTCCTATTCTGGATAAAACAGAAAACAAAGCTCCTGAATAGTAAGGGAATTTTATTCAATTTGTGCATCTATTTAGGGTTTATGAATCTGCCAACGAAGGTTTTAGTGTTATTTGATTTGTGTGTTCCTTTTCAGTTTGAAAGATGCTAAGATCTATTTTCCTTCAAGGTACTTCACAAGATTAAATATTAAAACATTGTTCTTCAACCATAGTTTTCTATGTATAGTATGTGTTGCTTGACCTTTTAACTTTGCCTTATGATGCTCAGAGATGATCCTGAGTGTGTTGAAGTTTGTTACAGCGACATGGAATGCCTTGCTCCTGAAGGCTACTTATCATCAACTATCATGAACTTTTACATTCGGTAAGTTTATTTGGCCCCTTCTCTGCCTTCCCCTTGCAGGTTCTTTTGAGTATTTTTTATTTTGCAATGAAGAGAGAAACACAATATTTTGTTGCCTTCTCTTGTTACCCTCAAACTCATAGAACATGTTTTGGCGCCACCACTAATCTATTGGAACATTTTCATCTCTGCATCACCGACCTTACTTTCTTCTCACCTCTTAACCAATCTAGATAGAAATATATATGTAAAGAAATATTACCACCTCTGTCTCTATATGTACTCTATACCAAAACACAAGAATTAAGAAAATTTGTTTTTACATTTAATTCGTCGACAATATACATTTCTGTTAAGAGTCCTACATCGGATAATATATGGCATGAACACGTACCTTTTAAGCCGGTTTTGTAAGGTTGAGTTAGGCTCAACCATACTTCTTAATATGGTATCAGAGTCTCGTTTAAGATCCGGTGGACCACTTGCTATCAGGTTTCTGCTATTGGGCCACCAACCATTTATTTCCATGCTCCAGATGTTCAGTCCTGGGCGTGAGGGAGTGTGTTAAGAGTCCTACATCGGATAATATATGGCATGAACATGTCTTTATAAGTGGGGGCAATCCTCGCCCTTCAAGCCGGTTTTGTAAGGTTGAGTTAGGTCCAACCACACTTCTTAACAATTTCTGTTTTCAAGATAGAAATGACGAATGACTGGTCTTTTAATTCTCTCCATTTAATTAGGGATACAATTGTGAAAACTTAGTTAATACATCTTGTAATTTGGATGGTTCTTGTAAATGTGTATCTTGATCCTTTTCTGAATTCAACTTCAATATTTAACCATTCACTTCCATTTACTGTTATTATCTACTGAACTATTTATGTTATCGCTTTTTTAGCCCCTTTTCGACCCCTGATGCTGAAAATTTTAAGGATTCTGCAAAATAATAATCACACTTGGACATGTTTTGCCTGCTTAGTTCTTGAGCTCTTTACTTATGATATTTTGTATTGGCTAGATATTTAAAGAAGCAAGAATCTCCGACAATATCAGACTACCATTTTTTCAACACATATTTCTACAAGAAACTTATAGAAGCTGTTTCCTGCAAGGTACTTTATCATCTTCTTGCAAGTTCATAGCTGTAATCATATTGTGCATGATGGAGATTGTTTTCTGAGGAAGCAAGCTCTTGACCGTTATGATTAAGGTAGTCAAGCACGAGATCTTAAGTAGGATTGGACGACCTGTGAAAGATCGTAGCACAGCATTTAAGATCTTACCGAAGGGCAAAACTGTAATTTGACATACACACACAAAAACATGAAAATTATAATACATGAACAAAATAACCTATAAATCACAAAATTCAACCAATTTAATTAATAACTCGTAACCATCATTCTATAATTTAACAAGTTCGAAAGACTTTGTTCAAAATAATTAGCTCAAAAAACATAAACTAACAAACAAGTCTAATCATCTTAGATATTTTGTATTCCCATGTCATGATAGTCATATAAAAGGCAACTTCAACACATAAGATCGTATGATCTTAAGACCCAACACTTGATCTTGACCACAAAGTGCACGGAAAAAAGTCTTTTCTCAGATCGTAGCTCTAAAATGAAACTTCAGCATGTAAGATCTTAAGACCCATCACTCGATCTTAACTACACTTTTAACTACACTGGTTATGATTTAATAAGTTGTTGATAGTTTTGCCTTTCTTTGTGTTACTAAATGTGTATTTTGTTTGGTAATTTGGATGTTTATTTTGAGATTAAAATTTTTGCACTAGAAACTACTCTCTCTGCTCTTATTCTTATTTATAAGAGACAATTTACTTTTTAGATTCATTGAATAATTAATGTATCTGGTCTTATAATAATAGTATTTATTTATACATATGTATAATTATTTTTGGAATTTTTCATTTGTTGTTTTTTGTGATGTGTGTAGGTATTTAGGACAACTCCCCTTTCTGCTATACAGAATATAAGGCCGTGAAACAGTGCATAACGAATCTAAAAAGAAGTGGGATAAAAGATGTTATGAGAACATATTTAGTAATTAGGAATTTGATGATGTGCTATAAACGAAAGTAGTTAAAATATTAGTGCATACCGAATCTAAATAAAAGTGCGATAAAAGATGTTTTTTCTTGTGCAGTGTGTAGGTATATAGGACCAGGATGTGCAAAAATATGGTTAACTGAACCTTATATCCAAACTGAATTGCACTGAACCAAATATTACAAACAATTCAGTTAATTAAACATAAATTAAAAATTAGTTTAAACCGTTAACTAATTGTTTTGAAAAATATTATTTAAAAAAATTTAAAATAAAAAACGTATTTTTCAGAAAATTAAAATTAAATTTTTTAAGATACAAATTATTTTATTTCTAAAGTAAAAAAAAAGTTGAAAAAAAATTGGTTATAAAAGATTTAAAATATAAAACCGGTTTATAAATGGAATTGGTTATAAACTAGTTTATAAAGGAAAATTGATTATAAACCAATTTATAAATGCAAACTGGTTCTAAATTGGTTTTAAACTGAGTTGAAACCACCTATTTTTATTGAAGTGGATATTGCAAACCTTTAATGTGGTTTGATTCAGTGCATTTTATGAACTACAGACACTTCTATTTGTGATATATATGTTTTAAAGTTAAAACAAACTGACCGTAATTCTTGTGCCTCTCTCATTTCCTTCTCTTTGTTCTTTATTTAATATAAGCTCTAATTCTTTTCCCATTTCAATATCTAGGAAAGTAACAGAGACACGATATTTGCAAAGTTCAGAAGGTGGTGGAAGGGTGTAAATATTTTTCAGAAGGCATATGTTTTGATTCCAATACACCAGGAGTAAGTTTTCTTGGTAGCACTGAAGCTTTTGTTGTAGATGTTAATTTTTTCGTAAATTGTGGGAAGTTATTTTTGTGTTTTTTTTTTAAGTTCAGTTTATTTGAAGAAAAAAATTAGTATCACATTATAGAAAATGGTCATCATTTGAAGAAACCTTTATTCATGTGTTAATACTTAAGCTATAGTTCCACCTCCTTATAGTTTACTGGTTTTCATCTCCTTATAGTTTCACCTCCTTAAACTATATTTCCAAGAAAAATATATCTTTAATTGGTGTTAAATATGTTTGGATCTCAACCCAAAAAGTTAGCTCAAGGGGAGAGGTTGTCCTCACTATTTATACAATCAACAGTCCGAGAACCTAAGCAATGTGAGACTTCAAACAAACACCAACAACACAAATACCAACTTCAACACCCACCCTCACGCCTAGCGTGAGCCTGGGTCAAATGACCACCTTGCAATCCTTAATCCGGCTTTGATATCATGTTAAATATGCTTGGATCTCAACCCGAAAAGCTAGCTCAAGGGGTGAAGTTGTCCTCACTATTTATACAATCAACGGCCCGAAAACCTAAGCAATGTGAGACTTCAAACAAACACCAACAACACAAATACCACCTTCAACAATTGGAATCCTTAAACAATGCCTTTAATACACTTGTTACCATGACCCAACTTAGATTAGCTAGAATTAGAGGTTGGAATCAAATTTATCATTTTCTATGTTCGTTTTGTATATTATTTGTGGTGTTTTAATTCATTGTAAGTATAATAAACATATTTCTTTCTAAATTGATTACTATCCTCACAAGCCAAAATATTCTAAGGAGGTCTTGAAAAGATGTATCTTGTTCGTTAGTTATGGACTCTTGAAAAGAGTATCTTGTTCATATAGCCATAGAATCTTTCTCTTTCTAATATGAAATCATTTCATTTATGTGTTCCTAAGTCTTCCAAAAGCCGCTCTTTATCTGTGTTTCATATTTTACAACCGCGAGCACCTGTCACCCTTTTCTACCCCAGATGTCAGATGTTCATTAGCTTCCAAATGAGATTTGTCCTTGAACCACATTTTCATGGGTGAAGTACCTCTTTGATACTAGTTGTAAAGACCATGCTGCTTTTCGGATTGATGAATGTCCCCTATAAACCATCACAAGTCTTAGCTTGTGTTTTCCCTCACACACATGCTTCCTAGGTCATTCATCCTAGAAATGCTCCAAGTCAAACACACTTAATTTTGGAGTTCTCAAGTCACAGACTCTCTAAAAGTAGGTGCATCTTGTTGGTATAGTAGTTGCAATCCATTAAAGTTATAGTTATTTTTATTTTTAGCCTATTATCTAAGTTATCTAAGGTGCATCTCTAACTGCCCTTATTGTTATAGTTATTTTTATTTTTATCCTATTTCTATTATAATAATATTCTCCTAAAAATAAAGAGAGAATTAAGTTATAATTCTCCTATATATCACCTATATTTATATCCTATTTTCTATTATAATAATATTCTCCTAAAAATAAAGAGAGAATTAAGTTATAATTCTCCTACATATCACCTATTGCTGAAGAATAAAATAGAATAGTAAACCCTATTTTCTATAATGGTATCAGTTGATAATTAGGGTTTAACCAAAAGAAAAAAGCTGAAGAATAAAATAGAGTAGTAAACCCTATTTTCTATAATGGTATTAGTTGATAATTAGGGTTTAACCAAAAGAAAAAAAACCATTCTTCTTGCTGCTGTCAGCGCAACTTCTCTTCTAGCTGTCGACACACAACTTTTATTCTTGCTGCCAATAAACCTATCATCATTCTTGGGTTTAACCCAGAAAATAATGTGACCAGCCCTAATCATTGGCAGCAGGCTCTTACTATCTCGCCGATCGACATTTCAATGCATTTTGATGACTCTGAGTATGCAGGTGTGAAGAAATTTTGATCTTTTAGGCAACATGATGAACATTATGCTGTTGTGACTTCTATCAAGATGTCATAAGTGTCATCTTTTTGCCTGATTGCAAGCCTATCATTTCAATGGATGGTGATGGTTGTGTTTTTGTATGGAAATTGCCCACTTCACTGTCTTTTAAAATATTGAAGAAAATAATGAAGAAAAGTAATTCCTTGCTTTCAAGAATCTTTGGTCAATTGGTCAAGTAGGAGGTTGACCAGAGATTCTTGAAGGCAAGGGATTATTTTTTTCCATTGTTTTCTTCAATATTTTTGAAGACAATGAATGGGCAATTTCAATACAAAAACACAACCATCACCATCCACTGAAAAGATATGCTTGCAATTAGGCAAAAAGATGAGACCGGTAACTATTTCAGCATGTCGTGTGGCCTTGGCAACCATCTCTCCAATCATAAAGTCGTATATGTAGATGGACTTGTAAGAGAATGAGCAGCTTGGATCCATTATAACCTTTATAGGTTTTCCAAAAAATTTATCACCAAGTCACAGCAGCAGAATGGTCATAAATGCTGCCTATAAGATAAAAACTTCTGCACACCCGTACACCAAGAGTAAAAAATGTATAACCAGACAATAAGGGAAGCCTATAAAACTGCATAATTACACCTTCCAACATCACAGAGATGGAATATACAATCTCACTCCCCGAGGCAAGGAATCAACTGCCTTTTGCAATTTCCTCATATATGTCTTGGGTGGACAAGGTAAAGCTTAATGTAAGAATCTCTGCAAGACTGCATCACGAGCACCCTGTAAACATGTGTAATCGGATATTTGACGGTTGAATATATGAAGGTTTCCTTTGCAATAACCAGCAACAAGATACTTTTCATATAAACTAACTGCAAGTGATCGAAATTTGTGATGGGTAAGATCTACTTTAACTGCACCGCGTTCAAAAGTCCCAGCACTTACTAAACACAAAGAATCCAATAGCTCCTTGTTAAGCTGTTCCGCGTCTTTTTTTGACAAATTAGATTGCAAAGAATTATCCCATAGCTTAACTGTACCATCAGTAGAGCATCTTGCAAAAGAAATCTCTCCCAAACAACCTTTAGTAGTGCATGCAAGAGATGGATCGGGCATGTTTTCACAACATAGATTCTTGATATCCCATATGCATGGGGAACGTGAAACTAGCCCACACTCTGTGGCCTGATTCACATCATGGATGTCCCAGACGTAGAGGCTACGAAATATCCACCAGCTTTTCTGAGGTTGAAAAGTGACATGCAACTGCATCAGGCAGTGTAGGTAACTATTGGAAATTCTGTTCTGGATATATGGCATGGTAAACAGTGTTATTTTCTTCATAAAAGTTCTTGGCCTTTGAATACAATATACTGGCAGCGTATTCCAGAGACATGGGGATATATAATAGGACTGTTCCATTATTGCAAGCTCTGACCGTTAGTTAGTTTTCCTAATATTGATAATGCAAAAGATTTTTGGACCTTCAAGATCAGACTTTGACTGACAGCCCAGAATGAATAAGGTATAAAGTGCCTTTAGCACACCTCAATATATTGAATGTACCTTCAAAATCACAAACTTACTTATTGACAGTCGTAAGTCCCTGATCTTGAAGGTTCAAAAAGCTTATGCATTATCAATATCACGAAAGCTAATTTAGAGCTATGGCTCAAGGTATTTGTGAAGGACTATGGATCCACAGAGTCCTAGTAGAACTTAAAGTAAAATTTGAACTTCCGTTGAAATTATACCCGGACAGTAAAACAGCCATTAGCATATCTCATAATCCAGTTCAATATGACAGGACCAAGCACATTGAGATAGATCGTCATTTCATAAAAGAAAAATTAGCTGCCGCTCTCATATGTCTACCATTCATCACGTCTAGCCAACAAACTGCAGAACTCCAAACCAAAAGCATGGCCGGACCTACATTTGAGCATTTTGTAGGCAAGTTGGACATGATAGATACCCTCATACCTTTACCTCTTTCTTAAAGATTCTGAAGGGATATCATATTATAAACTTTCCCTTCCATCCCCTTCCCTTCCAGAACCGCTCTCCTATACAAATCCTTAAGTTTTCCTCAACTTTACATTTGCTTACATGCCTAGTCTCAGATTTCTCTTGTTTAACGTAAATTGGTCCAACCTCTTCCTACAAGCCTGCAGGGGCTTATCCTTAGTGCTTCTTCTTTTACACCAGTAATCAGTTCCCACTCTATTCAGCCCCAAGCATCACATTGGGGGCTTCTTGTGGATGCTATAAAGATTGAAATGCTTTGTTTTGTTTTTATTTTTATCTTTCCATATTACTTTTCTCCTTGTTGGTGCATATACTTTTGTTTTTAATTTTACTCTTTGAAGAATATTGGGTACAGAAAAGCTGGCTAGAGGAGTTATAGAAATACGTTGTATATTTCATTATATTGGAACTGTTACATTGTGAGGTATATATAGAATACAATACACTAATTTGTTAATAAACAGAGAAATAATTTCCTATAATTGCTGCTACCTAAATAAGGAAATCAGAATAAAAGATAATAAATCTATTTACACCACTGTTTTGTAACAGCTTGACAAATCAGAATCAAATGATTATGATTTGATATGTGCTAATCTTCAACACTCCCCTTCAATCTGGGTGGTAGATGTCTATCATACCCAGATTGGATTTGATATTTTCACAAGTATTCCTTTTATTTGTTCTATTGGTGTATTAGCTGTCTTGCACCCAAGCGTTCCAGTTTCTTGAAGTAAGTCAAGGGTGTATTTCCTTTGTGATACATATATACCATCCTTTGTTTGAGCAACTTCCATCCCTAAAAAATACTTAAGTTGTCCCAAGTCCTTAACTTCAAATTCCTTTGCCAAGAGTCCCTTTAAATGATCAATTTGATCATAATCATTTCCTGTAATAACGATATCATCCACATAAACAATAAACAAAGCTACCTTTCCTTCCATGGAGTGTTTAACAAACATAGTGTGATCTGATTGGCATTGGTTGAACCCGTCTTTCTTGACAACTCGAGTCAATCTATCAAACCACGCCCTTGGGGACTGCTTGAGGCCATAAAGGGATTTTCGGAGCCTCCACACCATATTTGCGGTGCTGGATGATTCGAGTCCAGGAGGAATCTGCATATAAACTTCCTCTTCTAGGTCACCATTTAAGAAGGCATTCTTGATGTCTAGTTGATGGAGTGGCCAATCTAAATTTGCAGCCAAAGAGAGAATAACTCTAACGGAGTTTAGTTTTGCCACCGGTGCAAAAGTCTCTTCATAATCTACTCCATATGATTGAGTAAATCCCTTTGCTACAAGTCGAGCTTTGTACCGATTTACACTCCCATCTGCATTATACTTCATCGAGAATATCCATTTGCATCCTACCGGCTTCTTCCCTGCAGGTAGGCTTGTGATTTCCCAAGTGCCATTCTTAATTAAAGCCTGAACCTCTTCCGTTACAGCTGCTGCCCATTCAGAATTTTGGAGTGCCTCATGGATGTTGCTTGGAATATGTGTATTGTCAAGAGCTGTTACAAAAGTCTTGTAACTTTGGGACAATTTTCCATAAGATACAACTCTTTCAATGGGATGTTTGGTACAGGATCTTACATTTTTTCTCAACGCAATAGGAATATCAATATCAACATTCAGAGTTAGGAGCAGTATTACCTGAGGGAACGCCATTTTCTGGAGTCTTGGAGGTTTCTTGGTTCTGCCTTGGAGTTGTGCAGGACTCTATTCCCTTCTTGTTCTTCCTGGAGTACACTTTCATGTTGTTTCCTGGTGCAGTTTCTGTTATAGGGGCTGCAGTTTCTACTGCAATTTCCTCTGTATTTTCTAACGTAGTTTCTTCTGGTCCACATGTAAGTTCTGCAGTTTCTGTTGCATTTTCATTTGGTTCAGGTGTAGGTTTTGATGCCTCTGCAGTGAGTTTGGGTTCAGTTAGCTCAAGTTCCAAAAGTTGGGATTCTACCACTTCAATTGGATATGTGTTCTCCCCCTGAATGCCAACTTTGGGGTAATATGGCTAATTCTCAAAAAATGTTACATCCATGGTGTGGTAGAATTTTTTGTTTTGAGGTGAATAACATTTGTATCCCTTTTGGTGAGGAGAGTAGCCGAGGAATATGCATTTAATGGATTTCGGGTCAAGTTTACTGCGTCGGGGATCAAGATTATGGACAAAGGTTGTGCATCCAAATATTTTCAAAGGAATAGATGTAAGAATACGATTGGTTGGGTATAAGGTTTGGAGAGTGGAGTAAGGCGTATGAAAGTTAAGGATTCGGGAAGGCATTCTGTTTATTAGATAGGTTGCAGAGAGGACAGCTTCTCCCCAAAACTGGTTAGGTACATTTGTAGCTAGCATGAGAGATCGAGTTACTTCTAGGAGGTGTCTATTCTTTCTCTCGGCAACCCCGTTCTGCTGAGGTGTATCCACACATGAGGTTTGGTGTATTATTCCATGTTGCGTAAAGTATGAGCTTAGTGCAGAATTATAGTACTCACGACCATTATCACTCCTAAGCACTCTAATTTTGCTTTGAAATTGTGTTTGCACCATGGTATGGAAACATTCAAATATCCTACCAACTTCCGATTTATCTTTCATAAGGTAGACCCAAGTGATCCGTGTGTGGTCATCAATAAATGTGACAAACCATCTTGCTCCAGTTACATTTCTGACCCGCGATGGTCCCCATACATCACTATGAATAACATAAAAAGGTTGGGAAGGTTTATAGGGTTGAGGTGGGTGGGGGCTGCGTGTATGTTTGGACAATTGACAAATTTCACATTGAAACAACTTCTGATTTTTATTGAATAGTTTAGGAAGCATTTTTTCCAAGTACATAAAATTTGGGTGGCCTAGTCTATAGTGCCACAGCATTGCAGAATTTTCACTACATGCAGAAACTACAGCGCAAGAGGTTGCCTCGAATTCTGGTTTAGATGCTTCAGCCTGAAGGATATAGAGTCCAGCACATTCTTTAGCATTGCCAATCGTCCTCCCCGACTCCAAAATCTGAAATTCACACAGGTTAGGAAAGAATTTAGTGATACACTTCAAATCCTTTGTAAGTTTACTTATGGACAGCAAGTTACAATCAAATTTAGGCACATACAGTACTGAACTAAGAGTAATATTTTGCGAAATAATGACTGAACCTTTACCCATGACCTTAGAAAGGGTGCCATCAGCAATTCGAACAGTCGAATTATTTTGACATGGAGAATAGCTATCAAAGACAGTCAAATCTCCAGTCATGTGATCAGATGCTCCTGAGTCAATAATCCATGATTTTTGTTTTCCCCTGCTAGTGTTTAGAGCATGCAAAAAATTACCTTTTTGTGCCACAGTAGCTGTACCAATTGTTTGTTGAAGCAGTTTTTGTAAGGCTTCCATTTGCTCCTTGTTGAATGGTGATGAGTGAGAATTTACCTCAGTTGTGTTCCCTCTGCTGTCCCGGTTTTTGCTCCATTTTAGCTCTGATGGCTTTCCATGAATGATCCAACATGTGTCTTTGGTATGACCCGGTTTCTTGCAGTGGTCACACCATGTCCGTGTTTTCTTTTGGAAAGATCGATGATCTCCCCTTGCTGCCATTGCAGATCCTTCTATAGATGGGGCTGCACTGGATTTTCCAAGCATCACTTTTCTCCTGCTTTCCTCTCTTCGTATTTCCGAGAATGCTTCTCGAATTTTTGGAAGAGGTTTGGTTCCAAGGATTCTCCCACGAACTTCATCAAGTTCTGTGTTCAAACCTAAGAGAAATTTGTAGATTCTATCTTTCTCCACCAATTCTTTGTACTTCTTTTTATCCTCTGTGCAGCTCCATTCAGCTTCATCATATACATCCAGTTGCTGCCAGTGACGATTGAGAGTATTAAAATACTCTGTGACTGAGCGGTCTTCTTGTAGATATTAGAGCGGTCTTCTTGATTTCAAATATTGTAGATGTATTGTCGACATTAGAGTAGGTTTCCTTTACGGCATCCCACATCTCTTTGGCAGTATCATAGTACAAGAAATTTTCTCCAATTTCATTTGTCATGGTGTTTAGCAGCCATGACATTACTAGACTGTTTTCTGGTTGCCATTTTTCAAGGTTGAAATCCCCCTTTTTTGGACACTTGGAGTCTCCTGTGATATAACCTTCCTTCCCTTTTCCTTGAAGGTAGATTTTGACTGAGCGCACCCATTGATTGTAATTCTGGCCATTCAGTTTGTGACCAGTGATAGGAAGAGCATGTCCTTCGGCCAAACTGTTGGCTGAATTTTCTGCTTTAGTATCTGCCATGGGTGGTGCTCAAGGTTTAGGGATGGTTCAGATCTTATGCTCTGATACCATATAGAAATACGTTGTATATTTCATTATATTGGAACTGTTACATTGTGAGGTATATATAGAATACAGTACACTAATTTGTTAATAAACAGAGAAATAATTTCCTATAATTGCTGCTACCTAAATAAGGAAATCAGAATAAAAGATAATAAATCTATTTACACCACTGTTTTGTAACAGCTTGACAAATCAGAATCAAATGATTATGATTTGATATGTGCTAATCTTCATCAAGAGTAATTAAACATATTGGTTGTTTAAATATAAACTGTTATACTTATTTGCGAGCCATTTTATTTCTACTATGCACTTCCTGCCCAATATTTGCATTTGACAGAAGAATCATTGTTTTTTATATATAATTTAAATGCTTACAACCTCTACTGATATATAGATTTATTTCTTGTGTTGTTCTTTGTGGGCAGTCTTCATTGGAGCTTGAGCATTATTTGTTTCCCAGACAAAGAAGATGAATCAGGACCAATAATACTTCATTTCGACTCTTTGGGGCTTCACTCTAGTAGAATAGTTTTTGAAAACATTAAAAGGTGAGACTAGAGAATTGTTTGTTACTCCCTCTACTACAAATTATTTGTCATTTAAAATAATCTATGCATCTGTAGAATTATTATTATTTTTTTAATAGCAAAGAGAGAAACATATATTAGAATGAACTGAAAAGAGTTACAAAATGTACAAAGGTAATAAAGAGCATCAGAAATGCTCACAAAGAACCAACCCTGACTATACGGCAGGGCAAAAAATAAACCAAACATCAGAAGAAGTCAAAACTACCAAAAACACCCGGGAGGAATAACAAGTAACTCCACAACTGTGAAGCCTATCCTGAAACCTCAAGCCAAAACTGACCACCAGAGAGAGTAAGCGGCTTGAAGGGTAGGCTTGAACACCTGCACAAAACAAACACGGAGGGTAGCTGGCCATCCAACAAATCCCTACTGCCTAGTCACTTAAGTGGATCCTGCTTCTAGTCTACTAGAGAAATGGAAAAACCCAAAGCATGGAAATGAACCCATTTCCAAGTCAAACTAATAATTTTTTTTTCATTTTGAAATGATGTTGCAAAGTTCTGCTTGAGAACTACTATTTTTTTTTTTTTGGGTAAACAATCATTTTGGTTCCTGAATGTGTGAGGCGCCTGTCATTATAGTCCCTTAATGTATCTGATTTGCAAATCCATCCTCAAGTGTCTCTTTTGTGTGTAACTGTATGGATTAATTAACTAATGCAAAACGCCAAAACACATTTGAAGACCAAAATGACTAAAAGAGAACCAAAATGCCTAACTAAAGGGACACTTGAAAATGTGTTTGCAATTTTGATACATATATGTTGTAAATTGAATATTTGGTGAAATGTTTGAGTTACAAAGCACTCGAGTGATTTGATTATATACACTCAAGAGAGTAATTACAAGATAAGATTGAAACTATTTCCTAGGTACATGTATGTAATTTACAAGGTATAGATTCCTAGACTCCTAGATACATGAACATGCTCTCATAAATACAGAATTATAATTCCAATAATTTGTAATTCCAATAATTGGAATAATTCCAATAATTCCAACAATACCCTTCAAGCTGGAGAATAGATATCAATCATTCCCAACTTGCAAGTCAATTGATTGAAACGATCAGGTGGCAAGCCCTTTGTTAACACATCTGCTAGTTGATGTCCAGAAGGAATATAAGATGTAGCTATTAAACCACTATCTAGTTTTTCCTTGATGAAATGGCGGTTAATCTCTATATGTTTGGTTCTCTCATGCTGAACAGGATTATTAGCAATACTGATTGTCGACTTATTGTCACAAAATAACTTCATAGGCCCTTCACATTGTATTTTCAGATCATTTAGAATGATTCTCATCCAAAGTAACTCACAGATTCCTTGAGCCAAAGCTCGAAATTCTGCCTTAGCGCTTGATCGAACCACTACATTTTGTTTCTTACTTCTCTATGTGACAAGGTTCCCACACAAGGGGTGCAAAATCCCGAAGTGGATCTTCTATCACTTATTGATCCTGCATAATCAACATCGGTGTAGGCTTCTATAGTTAAGTTTCCACCTCTTTTGAGCAGTAGTCCTTTTCCCGGAGTAACCTTGAGGTATTACAAGATGCGATCAACAACTTGTAAGTGTCACATGCTCAGGTCATGCATAAATTGGCTCACTACACTGACAGCATAAGCCAAGTTAGGCCTAGTGTGTGTCAGGTAAATCAACTTTCCTACCAACCTCTGATATTGGACTATGTTAACTTTGACACTTTCTTCTTCGAGGCTCAACTTATGGCTTTGCTCTATGGGAACATTAGAAGGTTTGCATCCAAATTTCCCAGTTTCCTACAAGAGATCGAGTATATACTTCCTTTGAGATATGAAAATGCCTTGGTTTGAGTAAGCAACCTCAATTCCCAAAAAATACTTGAGTTTCCCAAGGTCCTTCATCTCGAATTTTGCCGATAGTTTTTCCTTTAGCGAATGTTTCTCTGCCAGGTCATCTCCAGTAATAATACTATCATCAACATAAACAAGAAGGATAGTAAATTTTCCTTCATGCGAGTGCTTAAAGAAAAGCGTGTGATCTCCTTGGCTCTGCTTGTAGCCTAAGTACACCATTGCTTTTTTAAATCTTCCAAATCATGCTCTAGGAGATTGTTTTAGCCCATATAGGGCTTTCCTCAATTGACGCACCTTATTGGATCCATATGTTGGGCCAAATCCCGGCGGAATCTCCATGTACACCTCTTCTTCTAAGTTTCCATGCAAGAATGCATTTTTGACATCAAATTGTTGTAATTCCGATCCGGAGTGAGCAATAAGAGATAATAAGATCCGAACAGTGTTCATTTTCGCAACAGGAGTAAATGTTTCCTCATAATCCATGCCATATGTCTGTGTGTATCCTTTTGTCACTAGTCTAGCTTTGTAACGATCTAAGAGTACCATCTGATTTGTGTTTGACTGTATAAATCCACCTGCAACCAACATGTTTTTTGCCTTCCTGTTTGTCAACAATCTCCCAAGTTCCATTTTTTTCAAGAGCTTTCATTTCCTCATCCATCGCTTGGACCCAATTTCTATCTTTCAATGCCTCTTGAACGGATGATGGAATGACCACAGAGTTAACTGCAGAAATAAAACTCTGATGCTGCAAGAAAAGATTTTTAGTGGATACAAATTGAGATATAGGGTATTTGGCACATGACCTTTTCTCTTTCCTTAAAGCAAATGGGCAAATCATCTGGATTAGTGTCCCAAGTGTCAGAGCTATGGGAATCACTAATAGGACTGTGAGTTTCAACACTTACCTCCGGTTCTGACAATTGAAGTTGTGTTTGGAGCAGGTCGGGCTTACTTCTTCTGTGATACACCAAAGTTGGCTCACCAGTCTTAGTTTTTATTGGTGTGGAAGATGATGGTTCTTGCAAAAGAGACGACAAAGGAGGGACCAAAATAGAAGTAGGATTAATAATAGAAAGGTTAATAATAGGAATTAACATAGGATTAACAGTCAACTCGGGAGACTCAATTGTAGGACCGGTAATAGGACTTAAGAGAGGAGTCACAAGCAACTCAGGTAGGACCAAATACTCGGAATCAAATTCTACATTCTGAATGCTCTCCCCTTGAAGCTGAGGACGAGTGAAGTAGGTCAAATTCTCATGAAACGTGACATCTTTAGAGACAAAGTACTTACGACTAGGAGGATGATAACATTTATATCCTCTCTTGTTTGGGGGATAGCCAACAAAGATGCATCTGACTGCGCGGGGGTCCAACTTACTTCGGTGTTGTTTATGGATATAGACAAAGGCAACATAACCAAATACTCGAGACTCGAGACTTTTCAAAATAGGAACAGAAGGAAACCGTGAAGTCATAAATTGAACAGGACTGGCATTACCTAACATGCAAGATGGAACCCGATTAATCAAGTAGGCAGCAGTCAGTACGGCTTCTCCCCAATATGAGTTGGGAACTGCCATTTGGAAGAGGATGGCTCGAGCAACTTCAAGTAAATGACGATTCTTTCTTTCTGCAACACCATTTTGTTGTGGTGTGTCGACGCATGTAAATTCTTGTAGTATTCTCCGTTGACTGGTAAAATTTGAAAGGGTGTGATTGGCATACTCTTTGCCATTGTCAGAGCAGATTCTTTTAATCCCCTTGTCAAATTGTGTTTGTACCATGTTATAAAAACTAATAAATATTTCCGGTACTTCAGACTTATCCTTCATCAAGAAAATCCAAGTTGCTCGAGTACAATCATTAATAAATGACATAAACCATTTAACACCTGGAATATTAGAAATAGGTGTATGAGATCAAAAGGTTTGACACTTCTATTGGAACTAGGAGTAAAAGAGACACGGTGATGTTTAGCTAACTCACAAACGTCACATTTAAAAGATTCTACTGAATGATGTAAAAACAAAGAAGAAAACATAGACTTAACTAAAAAGAATGGTGGATGACCAAGATGCTTGTGCGAATGGTGGATGACCAAGATGCTTGTGCTGAAGCTAAATTTGTGCGGCAGAATGAGAAGAAGACACAGAAGACTCAGTCTGCAAGTAGGAAGCCAACACCTTCGAACAACTTGGTTTATCAGATATGTAGTACAACCCTCCCTTTTCCTCAGTAACTCCAATTGTCTTCTCCGTGGTAAGATCCTGAAAAACACAATAAATGAAAAATATTACTTTACAATTCTGATCACGGGTGAGTTTACGAACATATATTAGGTTGTGAGAGAGAGTGGGAACATATAGCATGCCCTGTAATTGAAGTGAAGATTGCAAGTTAACACTCCCAGGGCCATCAATACGGCCATAAGAACCATTAGCAACCGATACATAACGGTTCTTCTCAGAGGAGGTGCAAAAGGAAATCAAACTAGGATTGAATGTCATATGGTCGGTGGCACTAGAATCTAAAATTCAAGCATTCTTAGAGATTTTACCGCAAACACTAAAGGATTGAGAGCATACACTCAAGCCGGTTGTCGGTAGAGAACAACTTCCAAAAGGCATACTGAGAGAGTCAAGTATAGCCTTTAAACGATTCACCTCATCCTTGGTGAATGATAAAGAGTAATCAACAGGAATTTTTTCAGCCATTTGTAGCAAGCTAAAAAAAACAGCAATAAGACGAGCCAAACAGCAGCAAAAAAGGATCAAATAGATGTGTTTTTGGACGGAAAAAAAACTGCAATGAAGGGTAACAAGGCTGCAATGAAGGCAGCAGCAAAAATTGTCACAATGAAGGTGACTTAGGGTTTACCGCATGAAGACGGCTAGGGTTTATCCGGAAGCAAGTCTCTCAAGATTGAGAGCTCTTGATACAATGTTGTAAATTGAATATTTGGTGAAATGCTTGAGTTACAAAGCACTCAAGTGATTTGATTATATACACTCAAGAGAGTACTTACAAGATAAAATTGAAGTTATTTCGTAGGTACATGTATGTAATTTACAATGCATAGATTTCTAGACTCCTAGATACATGAACATGCTCATAAATACATAATTATAATTCTTGTAATTCCAATAATTCCAACAATATACATTCAAGTGACCAGAACAGCGTTATTTTGGGACGAAGACAGAACAAGTACATCTGGGACAAAAGTTACATGCCGAAAGAACAAAAGTTATACTTGAAAATGTATCATTATAGGGTTTAGTGTTGGGCTAGTCAGTAGTGAGTCATATCAACAAAGGTTACATGCAGAATAATCATTGGCGGGAAAAGAAGTCACTGCTAATTTGATTCATTTGTGCGAAAAATGTCACTAAGGGAAGCCATTATGGGTCAATGGGTGAGAGACATACGTTGGAAAAGGGTTGTTGATGCAACCGATTAGCTTTCCGTGTCTCAAAACCCTAAAGCAAGGTTGGAAATAGATCCAGATTGCAGTGGCGTAACACGCAAGTGAAAATGGCGCCGAAAAGCTTACTGGACGTCATCTCACATGGCAAAGGCTGTGACTGATTTTTAAAATTGTCTGTCTCTGTCAATGTGCGGGAGACTCAGAGATCACATGACATGTTTTCGTTGGTGGTATTGGGATGATGCAGATAAACTCAACAGTTGTTCATCACAGAGGATCTAACCAGGCTCTAGATATCTATCATGCTGAAGTTATGTGATTTAGATATATTATTAATTTGATACTAACTTGATAAAATAGACTAAACTCTAACCTTTGTAATTTATAAGGATGCAGGACTCCTAATCTAGACAAAAAGGGAAATCTAAAAACAAATCTCGATAATAACAAGTAATATCAAAACCAACAGAAACTTATCCTAGGAGACAATCTAAGAAACTTATATCTGAAGAGTTTGAAATTTTGAGCTAAACCTGATTAGCCAGGTAAACATATGATTTGAACCTGGTAAAACCCGTATTTCAATATGTTGGTTTGTTTTAACTGGTGAACTTTGAGCTGGACCACCGGGCCTGTAGCCCAGACATTTGACTAGGTTGATCCCCTGTCTAATTCTTACAGCTTTGCTTTGTTAGTTCATGTATCTTGTCACGTTCTGATGACTGTTTGTATACATTTATATTTGATTTAAACATATAAATTAATGATGTCAAATAATGTGCTGTAGCTATTTGATAGAAGAAAGGAACTATTTGAGTAAGGAATGCGCGTCTTCAGATGTTCCGATTGCAGACAGAATATGGAAGTCTCTTTCTCGTAGAATTGAAACTGAAGTCATGAAGGTAAGTTTCTGCTGTTGATAGTTTGATACCTAATCACGTTTGTTGTTTGAAGATGATGTATCCAATTTCACCATTTGTTCTTAAAATGAATGACCTTTTAGCATATACACCAGATTCCTACACTTTTAACATTCTTCCGCCACAGAATGTCAAATTTTGTATTTTTGCTCCAGGTTCCCCAACAGAAGAATGAGTATGACTGTGGTCTTTTTGTACTGTACTTCATCGAGCGTTTTATGGAAGAGGCACCCGATCGACTGAAAAAGAAAAATTTAGCAATGGTAATAATACACATTCAATTTTTTTTTTAAAGTTACGACAAACGGGCCAAATATAATTTAAAATAATGGATTTTATTGATCGAGACTTGTCAATTTACAGTTTAGCAAGAGATGGTTCAAACCTGAAGAGGCATCCGGTTTGAGAGCGAAAATTCACAAGTTGCTTGTAGCAGAACTACACAGTTCAATCAAGCCTGATGGTATTGCAGAATCTTCTTCATCTGCTGGTGATGCTACCGAATGCGATGAGACTGCAAAGAACTCTTCAATCAAAGATGGCATCGTGAGTTGCGATTCTCTCGTGATTGAATGAACAATCTGTTGATAGTCTATATAGTTGATTTTGGTACCTTTTACGGTGTACAGACACCGGCTCAGCCGGTAGTTTTGGATGGGAAGATTTTTATGGTCTGTTAAATAGCTCAATAGCCTGCTATACAAGAAAAGGTTGATGGCATTTTATGACCAAATAAGGGTCAAATTTGTCTAGTTTCTAACCATTTATTATGGGTTAGGAGTTCCTTCTAAATGTATAGTAGGAAACAATACAGAACTGACGACTAAGATTTAAAGTGAATCTGCTAGAATTATACTTAAAAAAAACCTTTTTTTAACCTTTCAATTATAAGTTTATAGTTTATAGCTCGTAAGCTCATTATGACAATTTAGACCTGTTTGGTAATACTTTTCGTTACAAACTTATAACTTACTTGACTAGTTTATAGTTTATTTTTTAGACGCTATTTTAAATAACGTTTTAGCTTATAACTTATAGCTTATTATTTTTTCTTTCATTTTCATCCTTATTATTTTAAAAATTCACTAATCACCTTAAGGTTTTGAGTGAATGTGTCAATACAAGAGAGCATATTTACTTCAGGAACTTTTCTTTTGAGCAACACATCTCTGTGAGGGACATTATATATTCATCCAAAATCTTAAGGTGATGGGTGAATGAGTTCTCTAATTATAAATGTTAAAGTCTCCATATTCTTAATCAATGTGGGACTTCCTCACACTACCTCTCAAGTGTGAATCTATTCACAATGCCTCTTCAAGTGGAAGCTCTTTCGTAGAAGTTCTTTCTTTCACATACACTTGTACCTCCGTTGACTCTCTTCAATGGGACACCTCCTACGAACATTTAGATGCAAGTAAATACACTTTTATCACCGTTAACTCTCTTCAACGAGACACTTCCTACAAACATTTTGATATAAGTCGGTCCCTTTACTTAAAACTAGACTCTATATCAAATGTTGGAAATTTATGGGATCAATACTATAGAGCATCTTTACTTTATGGACTTTCCTTTTAAACAACACATCTTTGTGAGAGACACACCACATATAAATGTTTAAGCCTCCACATTAATAACCATGTGGGACTTTTCCATTCTACTCATACTTGTAATTCTTTTTCAACATTAACAAAAACTCAATTTTATTCTTTATAATTTATTTTAATTTAAAATAAAATAATTATGTATTAAATATCTTTTATGTCATTATACATTTATAAGTTAATTGAATTGTTAATTTTATCAAACACTTTAATTAGTTTATCAATTTCAACCATAAGCTATAAACTATAAGTTATCCGTCATCAATCATAAGTTATAAGCTATTAGCTAAATTTATCAGGCAACTACTATTTTTACCAAACATACCTTTCAATTTCAATACTTTAAAAAACTTTTTTTATAATTTTAATTTTAGTTGACATGAATTATCACATAATAATTTCAATATTAAAGCATAATTAAATTTACATAAAATGCCATGATCAAGATTGATACATGAATATTTGATCGATTTCACCTAACCTCAACAAGAGAGAAATTAACTACTCTTACTCTCAGTAGTTGTACAATAAAGACTTAGAAGAAAGAAGATGAATGTTATTTGTCGATTTCTCAAACATCTCTCTCTCACAATGAAATCAACAAATTGTATCTTAACACATTCATTACAACACAAATAATTAAAACATTAAAATGACACAACAATTCCACATCTTACGTGCTCTTAACGAATTTGGGTCAAAATAACAAGTCATGACCTATTTCCTCACAATTAATCCATTTCTTTCATTGATTTGCCGTGAATTCAATTAGAAAACCATTGACTCTCCTAACACGTTCCCTTGTCATATGATCTCATAGATTTTAGAGGACTTCATTTATGTCTTTATGCTCCATGTCTTCACCATCCTCCTTAAGAGAATTCGACTTCGAATTGAGTCATCATCCTTTACATTAAAAAGAGATAAATCATCAACATTGAAAATACCATTTACACCATACTCACTTCAAACTTTTATATTTTAAGAATTCTCATTTGTATTAGAAAGCACTTAGACCATTTCATTGGCTAGTAATTTGAACTTCGTTTGTAAGGGAGACCTTTTCTTCCTCATCTTGACCCAAACCTATTCTCCAAATTTAAATACCATTTTCTTACTTCCCTTATCAATATTAAAAATGATACTTATACCATACTCCCCAAAAAATATATCTTGTAGGAGTCACCATTTATATTAGAAAGCATTTTAAATGAACCATCTCCCCTTAATGACATTTAACTTGTTTAAAAAAAAAATTGACCACTATAAAAAAGTTATCTTTTTTACCTATAATAGTACGTAAATTAGATCATTTTAATATTATATAAATATTATATATCTATTATAATTGACTTAAAAATTTGTTCTTACTGTTTTTTCTCTTTCTTTTTCCACCATTAATGAGGTGTTTTCTCGATCCACCATTGCATTATGAACCAACTCTACAACACGAATCATATCCTCGGCAGCATGTTATAGCATGTTTTGGTAATTCAGTCTCTACCTCAAGAATATGAACCACATGTTCAATCAAATAGTAGATATTAGTTTAGAATATTTTTTAACAGAATTGAAAAAAATCTCCACCGTTCCCAATCTCAACCATAGTAGTATAAATATATGACAACATATTACATTATAGATATCCCATATCCCAATACATTTATTCATTTTCATCTTTAGAATACTGTTAGTACATTCTTATAGAAAAAAGTGCTTTCTGAATATGGCCAATCTTAGGTTTCAGAGAATGATGGACGCATTTGATATACAGGAAATAGTTTCAATGCTGATTCAAAACAGAATTGAAGCTTACAAATTCAGAGATCTAAAATCCAAAAACAGTGCAAAATTCAAATGAGAAACGTGCTGAATCGGAATTGAACCGCAAAACATAACGATAACTTGTTGAATCGAAAATAAAAAAATCTTGATGAAACGAAAATCACAAACCTTGTTGAACTGAAAATGAAAAAAATCTGCATGAATCAAAAATCAAAAATTTTGTTGAATCGAAAATCAAAATTTTTGCTTTATTGTCAACAGATCCGTATAGATCGAACAAACTGTTGAAGATGAAATCAATATTTTTTATTTTAGATAGATGAATTAACTAAGAAAAAAATGAAATATAATGAAATGTTGAAGAATATAGTTATTATATTTTTGGAGATTGTATTATTATAACAATTGATTCACGGGTAGCAAGTCAATCATCTTGATCGTTCAAATTAAATATTAATATATTAATAATTAAAAATATCATTTCTTTATAGTGGTCAAAAAGTTATTGGTCCATACTAAATGTCACCTCTCTCCCTACTAGAATTTAGACTTAACCTTTCATTCCTCATTTAGATCCAAATCCAATTTTTTGGAATAAACACTATTTTTCTTCCTACCTTTATTTGCACACACAACGAAAAACTTCATTTTCTTTTTCTCAATTTATATTTATATTTTAACTTCCTCATCCAATTTCTTTACAAAGGCATCTTTAACTTCCTCATCCATTCTTATCTTTTAAAAGAGAAGTGTTAAGAAATGATCATAAATCAAGAGGGATGAGTGGATTAAAATCATACACAATTTTAAAAGATAGGTATTGTAAAGTACTATGAACAACTCTATTATGAATAAACTCCACATGAGGAAATCATTCTTCACACATTTTAAAATTATTTTTAAGTTCGCCTCTAAGAAAAATAGAAATAGTTCTATTTGATCGTACCTGATCAGAAGGGATTTGTCAAAGCCTTCAAACTTTGAGTCGAACAACAATTGAATGCAAAGTGAGGGGAGAGAGTACCTGCAAGACGCTCTGATACCAAAGTAAGTTTCAGAACGAGTGCTAGAAAGTATGAGAGTAAGTGAGTATAAATACCTGACTCTCTCAAGTGAGAGAATATTTATAGTCCCCAATATTGGACCAGTGTTTTCAATGATGGACCACGATGAAGCCCAACAACAAAGACTATCAAAGCTTACGTGTGTATGGAGTCCAGCACATGGTCTCCTCCCTTGTCAACTTCCCCGAGAAAGCAGGAGTTGAATTCGTTATTCTCGAAGGGCGGGATGATGATGATGATATGGACACGTGAGCAACATCCTCCTAGCGGACACGTGGAGAAATGCCCAACGGTTTTTAGATTGGGTTGCATGCTTTTGGACCTTTAATAAAGGCATTGGATTGGGCCTCCTCAAACGGTGGGGCAAGTGCCGACCCATTCCAGAATAAGAGCCTCTCAAGTTATTGCCCTTAGGTGAAAGGGTGATGACTTAAGGTCAGTTTCACTGTCGGAGAAACGTTGTCCGAAAGGAGAAATTTTCCAACTCCGCTGGGGATAACTCGTTGGCTGATGCGAGGATGTAGAAAACATACGTGCGACATGGTCGACCAAATTAGCGGGTGGTTCCTTGATCGACTTTAACTCTGATATTGTTGGTTTGGTGCTCGCCAGACATATACACCCATAGGAAGCGGGGAGTTTCTCGAAATTCTTTTTGGACATGCCCGTTTATGAGGCGTTGCCTCGATGTCGAGCGTTTACCCCGCCTTTGGGAGAAACATCATAAATGGCCCGTAGGTAAGGTTGTGTCATGGGGTCGCGCGTTTGCTCGCCACAGAGCCTGAAACGTCGCCAAGTTGCCTGTATATAACATTTTGTAATTTAGTCGGGGATAAGTTCATCTCCAAGAGTGGGTACGTAGCTGATTTCCAACCCCAGGTGGCAGTTGTTTTGGGGTGCCATCTTTTTATAGGGGAGTTCAAAATCCCAAAGTAATGATGACTTTTCGCGTGCTACCTCGTGTGGTGCGAATCATCTATAAAAAGGGGAATCCACAAGCTCATTTGCCATTCTTAAGCTCTCTCATTTGCAATTCTCAAGCTCTCTTCTCCAGTATTTTTCCTTTGCTCGTGGATCTTCTCTGTTCTAGCGCCACCGTATAATACTTCAGAAAGCATCT